TCCGGCCGGTCAAAATGGCTCCGGGTGTCGGCCAACACCTTGGTTAAGGATGTCTGGCACAAATCCATCTGGATGTTCAGCACCCGGTAGTGTTTAGCCTGTAGGTATAGGCTGCGCATAAATTCCACCTGGGTCTTATCAAAACTACCAGACCCTGTTTTATGGTCGTACCAGTGGTTGACAAACCGGTTACGGCACTCGTCGTCCGGGCCCTCCAGCCATGCGCTCCTGTACTGGACGTACCGATCGCTCGACAGTTTGGCCCATATCTTAATCTCACGTATTTTGGCTAATATTTCTGTCCGGAGACTATTCTCGTCGTCATCTTATAAGGAGAAACAAGAGCTTAAATAATTGTTTATATTTTTAACTAGCACGTTTATTACATTTTAATCATTATGATATATTTTATGATGGGGTTTTATTAATGTTAGGTGAATATTGAGTTATAAATACCGTGATTATATACTTAGATAGTCCTTATTATAGTAAAAGAATAGTAAAGTATACTAACTTAAGTGCATTTAAACTAAACTATAAAAATTAGTTTGAACAAAGCAAACAAAAATATCTTATAATTATAAAATTATTATGTTATTTAATTTAAAAAAAATAAATACATTTATTTATTTTTAAAAACTTACCAAGTATAAATATCATTTTGATGGCGTAATCTTTTTCATCAATTTTATTACGCCCTTTGATGACAACCCCAAACCCACCCGCACCCAAACATTGATCATCTAGAGCAAATAAATTAGCTAGATGATTTGGGTGCGTAAAGTGATCCAGATTTATTGGCACGTCGACCACATTTTCCGTTTGAAGCACAAGTGGTTTACCATCTTTGTTGTCAGACATTGTAGTTTCATAAGTAATGTTAACTATTTAAAGTTGACTTATCACAATTGTTTTTATATTATGTATGATTTGAACAACGAAGTGTGATTGTCTTATATAACTATGATTATGTAAATATTAGACCAAGTTTAACTCCATAAAAGGGTATACGTTATTAATAAATATTTTAAATTATTTATGACATGTATTGTTTTAAGTCAACAATATTATTGATAAACAAGTATGATAATTTTGTTGTAGTCAAAATGTTTTTACTTATTAATAAAGTCTAACTATTATATGTGTTGCACAAATAGAATTATGTTTTAGTTTATAACGGTTTTAATTGTAGTTGTATAACTATTATTTATGCATAGTTATTATCAAAGAATGTTAGATAAGCAAGTTTAGTTTAGCAAAATACAAACCTATTAACAATAAAATAATAATATCATCAAATATTTTGCGTAGAGTTTAGCAAAAATTATTTTAAACACTAAAAAATTATGTTTTATCATAATTATTAAATCCAGTTTATATTTATGTATTATAAAAATTAATTAATTTTTATAGTAATACACATTTGACTTGTGCATTTTAGTAATTAGAATATTTCATTAATTATTTAATTATTTTTATTGAATCTTTGTTCAAATATTTTTTGTTTAGTTATTTATAAATTATCTATACTACTTTTAGATTGCAATTATTTGTGTAGTAATTAGCTTTATAAATTAATAACAAGTAAAATTAAACAAAATTATTAATCAAAAAATATTCATGGTGGAATAAAGATGTAAATAAACATGCTTAATTGTGATTGTTACATTGTATTTACGTTAATACATAATCTATTTTATGCAACATTGTATAAAATATTATTAATAATTATTATATTAATATTAATGATTTATTAAACATCACAGAACAATGTTTTATAATAATTATTAATTTATATTTTCATTAAACTTATACTTTGTCTGAAGAAATAGCAAAACAAAGTCCTTATTATAATCATAATGTTTGGACAAATCAATGGTGTTTTTAATCTGATCCCTCACTTCCGCGTAGTCTAGAGTCCACTCACTTTTAACGGCCAACCAGTCGGCACACGTCGGCCTCCGATGTCTCATACCATCGATTGATTTTACCGACAGTTCAGACAATTTCCTGTATCGTCCCGTTAACTCTACTTTCCTTTTAATTAATAGTAAAATTAATTACAAATTAAAAGTTAGTTAATATAAAATAATTCTATATACAAAGTATATATTAATTGCGAACAATACGGCCTGAATAAATTTAAAAATTCATTTATTAATTATAAACATATATAAAATAATCTAAAACAAACTAATTAAAAATAACCAAGCTTAAAAACAAACTCACGAATTAATATCCAGATTGAACATCTCCTGTACGGTAACCCCGATGCTATAAACATCGGCTTTGGTATCGTATCTACCTTGATTAATCTCGGGTGCCATGTACCTAATTGTACCAACATTGGCCGAGTGTGTGGATTTCATTAATACATGCTCAACAGCGCAGCCAAAATCCGATACCTTGATAAACCTGCCATCACTACCGGCCTTAATCAGTATATTATTGGGATTTATATCCCGATGCAATATCGGGTAAGGTTTACCCTCGTGCACGTACTCGTGCAAATAATTGATGCTGGTCAATATTTCCAGCAACATCTCGCTGGCTATAAAATAGCCAATGGGTGGCAGGGGTTGGTTCGGATTACCAGCAATTCCCAGGTATTGGCCGCACATTTCCATTGCCTCCCTAAGAGTAAACCAACACAACTCCATCTGTAGGTGTAGTATAGCGTACTGTCTGGGCTGCAGTTTGACCTCGTTGGGATCGCCAGAGTTATCTAGCTCGTCCGCGGCCACTGTTTCCTCGTCATGTATATTAAATTGTTTGTATTGACTGAACTGGGCTTCAGTCCTGTCGTCGCACATCTCTAGCCATGAGTTCCGGTACTTAACGAAGTAATCGGAGTCCAGTTTTAGCCACATATCTCTCTCCCGGAACCTCTTTTTCAGTTGTTCCGAGTCTTAATAAGAAGTATCATGTTTAATTGAGGTAGGTAATATTAGATTGTTGTTGTAATTAAATGTTACATTATAATTTATAAACAATAAATATTAAATGAGATAAATATAATAATAATTTGTCATAATTTAGCTAGTTTATAAACATTATATGTGTTTGACATACCACTTATTTTGATCTTTTTGATGGCGTAGTCTATCTGTTCAGACCTGTGCCGGGCTTTTGTTACAATACCAAACCCTCCGCCCCCTATGGGTCCCACTTCGTCAGCAAACTCATTGTCAAACTTGCCCACATCTAATTTCATGTCATTAAACATGGTACTTTGTGTAGACATTTTTCTTTTTATTGTTATTATGTAAACAATGGAATATTTTAAATATATTTATATTAATTAATTTATCAATGCTTATACATTGTTAAATAAATCATAATAATTATGTTGCTAATAATTAATGCAGCTAATATTAATTTTACTTACCCTGGGTGATTGTATTTCAATTTTTCTGTTTAAATTATAAGAATTATTTTGTTATTATTATATTTGTACTTTTGTATAGATGAAACAAAGAAAGTAATATATTTCATAAGTATTTTTATGACAGAAATGGCATTTATTTTTGTGCAATATTTCATATCTTATCGCAAATGTTGTAATTAAAAATAACTATAACAATAGCTGTATTTATTGATAATAAAACTTGAAAACATTTTTATAAATATAATGAACAGATATATTATTATAATTTTGCAATTTATTTATTATGCTTAATAATTTATTAATAATAAATCAGAATGGATATCATTTATTATAATCAGTGTATTTATTAAATAATTTTAAATAATTAAATTACACTTTGGTTATATTTTTGCAAAATAATTCTTTTTTATAAATATTTATATAAATATATAGTTATTTAAGACAATTATAAATAACTAGTTAATTTTTGATAATTTATAATAATTTTTTTTCTTATTAATATTTTAAACAATTATCTCTCAATTGAATAAAACACTTATTTTCACAAGTGATTTGAATGGACTCTAATCTATCATTTGTGGTAAACATTGCTCTCAAATCCCATTCATTAACACGAATACCAATCGCTTCCCGTATTATTAATGTCTTTAGTAGACGTAGTCTTGAGATGAGATTTAAATTAATTTTATTAATCGGTTTAGTGTTATCATAATAATAGTTCCTAATATTGTAATACAGGAGATTAGGAAAAATTATGGTAAGTTTGTCTAACAATTCATTGTCTATTTGCCACATACATACTAACATGCCACATACTAATCGTAAGTGTTAAATGTGTTAATTGTGGCAAACATTGCGTTGAATCTAATGCTCGCCAATCAGTAGTTAAAACATTGCTTAGATTCACATAAAAACTTAAATCCAAATGTGTTATGGATTTAAAATATGTCAATGAGTTCATAGCATTAATGCTTAGTATCGGTGTATCTGTTAAACAATTGAGTGACAATCTTTGCAATTTAATTAATTTTGTGCCAATTTTACGCAAAGAATCGCTTAATGAATTGAATAGATATTTATCCATATAATTATCATGTAATTCATCAATATAACCATGATGATGGTAATATTTGTTATAAAAATATAAACAAAGTTGCCGTAAATTAGATAATATTGTCAAATGATCCATGAATTCAATGATATTCTCTTCGATCACATCCTCTGCAAAAATCTCAGTTACGGTCAGACATTGCAAACGTTTCATATTTGCCACAAATATACCAAACAATTGGTTATTGTAATTGAATTTGCAGTTAAACTCAAACTTAACTAAATTTTCGATCGCAACAAATAATTGATTGTTTAAATCAAAACAGTATTTTAATTGATGTATTTTGAGATGAGATAATCGGCAATAAAAGAGTACTGATGGATCAAAATGGTGCTGGTCTTCAGTGAAATGATAGTAATCGTATAATACTTTCAAACGTGTGATCAATGGACCAAACAATTCAAGCAAAGCCTTTTCCCATTTCCTATTATACGGAGCGATAGTTATATAAATGTGTTTAAGTTGTGGCCAATTGTCTCGCAATTCATTTAATGCCAAATAAAAGGGCATTAAATTGTCGTTTAGGGCAATACGTGTTGTGTCCACACGTGTTATATTCGGACATTGTTTCATCATTTTTGACAAATTTCTTGAAGTGAAATATTTTTTACCAAATATATTCCTATCGTGTAATTTATCTATCAATTCATTGTCGACTTCGATGTACGTAAGTGTTGTGTAAAGCAATGTCTGGAACCGTTTGGACAGACATTCAAATGGGAACCGATCTTCGAGTGGGAGATAACTGACCATCACTTCAACCAAATCGTC